ACGTTTGTTTGGTGGGGGACAAGTTTGTGTCCTCCACCATTTAAACGTCTGTAAAATGTCGCGACTTTGAGCCGCTTTATCTTCGATATTTTTCAGCAAATCACTTTTAAACTTGGCAAATTTTACTAATTTTAAGACGCTCTTTCCAGTGGTGTTGATGGATCTTCCCTAAGTTGTCCAAGTCGAAAGTGGAAAGGTCTATTGTAAAGTGCAGTTAGGCTGGTCTTCGGTCGCAATCCAAGCGAGAAAGACTAGCAGAATACTTCATAGACAATACTTGGTTTTACGAGTCACTGTATTGTCTGTGACTCTTAACCAGAGAAAAATGGTCATCCTGGTTTGCATTTGGTTTTTAAGGAAAAAACATACGCAATTTCGCATGCTAAGTCTGACAAATCAATAGTGTCATAAAAATGAAAGACGTGTTCAAAAAGGAACATGGAATTCGTCTATTCGAGCTACATTTTAAACGGCTGCCTTTGATTGGATTAAAAAACACACACGACTCTCGCCTATGAAAAACAGCCTCCTCTTGTTTTGCTGGACCAGCCTAAAGTTGATCAATGAGTTAACCTAATTAGATATTTAAGTTAATAAATACTTAACAACTTAGAAAACAATATCTCTATCTTTAAAATATTCAAAATATTCAATCTATGCGTTTCACATTTGAAATATTTCCCTCATCTTATGATATGCCTCGAATATTTCACAAATGGAACCAAGTAACGAAATGCTATTTACAAACAATTTACAAAGCCAAAAACCTCGAACGTATGACGAAGACTTGCAACAAAAGGCCTTGAAAAGGTATAATAAGAAATACGACATTTTGTCTGAATGCGATTTTAGTCGAAAGTCTGTGTAACCTCAATGCAGAAATGCAAGGAATAATCTTAAAGTTGATTTTAATAGTACCTCTCTTGGAGGGAATGAGTTTTTTACGCTATAAAACATAAATATTTTCACACACCTTCAATACTGACGCTTTTCATCTTAAAGAAGTCCGCTTTAATCTTGCGAATGACAAGCCTGAGAAAACACCCGACATTTGGCGACGCTGCCATTGGTTTCCCCGCCAAATGACGTCTGAGAAACGAGCGCAGAAATTCCATACTGATGACGCGTCACTACCCAGATCTGGGTAGTGCTTCTGATTGGTCGTGCCGCGTGCGAAATTTGATTTAACCAACCAGAAGCACTACCCAGATCTGGGTAGTACACGTCATCAGTATGGAATTTCTGCGCTCGTTTCTCAGGCATCATTTGGCGGGCAAACCAGTGGTAGTGTCGCCAAATGTCGGCTGTTTTCTCAGGCTAACGAATTACTACAAAAAAACTTTAGAAATATAAAAGATTTTGCTCTAAACTCTCGCAACAGCTCAATTAACTTAACCGATAAATACTATATAGCAGAACTGCGACACTCACTAGTAATGTCAACACTGTTATCTATGAGGGCTTGTTATATCTAAAGATCGTCAGACCAGCTGACTACGATGGGGGAGGGGTGGGTGCTAATGGAAGGGAACAATACAGAGAGGTTTACACTGTGAGATAACTGCGCTAGTGCCCAGCACCTGGTAATTTCCTTAGAAGCAAACAGAATGAAATACAGGGAGGTTAATGGTATGGGTCAAAAGACTTATGCTACAATCAAATCCACGTAAATATAAGCTATAACAAAACATTCGCTTTCAGGATTGACGTTTCGCCAGCTGTGCCACATTTGCGCCCGCCTCTTGGATGACGTAATTGACACATTTCAGTTATGGTTTCAGATGTTACTGTTCAAATAAGCCTGTTTAAATAGGCCAGTACAAAATAGTATTAGCCTACGCCACAGACCGAACTAAACTTATGGTTAAGTCCGTCTGCTAAACAGCGCCGAAATCCTTGCTCTGGGCTCCCTTTGTGTACTAGGATTTGAATACGCGCCATGATTGGCCTGTTAAAAAAGCCATTGTAAATTTGTCAATAAGATTGATGGGAAATTTTAAACGTACTTCCGGTAATATTCGTTAATATTCGGGGCCCAGAACAGAAATATCGTCGCTGCTTCGCAGACGTCACTAGCCGGGGTTCGATTACGCCTGCGACACAGGCTAACACAGCATCAGTGCAGTGGCGGATCCAGGCCCCCCCTTATTTTTAGGGGCCGAAAAAATTTTTTGGCAACCGCCCCCTTCCCCCCCCTTATCTAAGGGTCTGCATGACCCCCCTCCTTATCTCAAGGTCTGGATCCAGCACTGCAGTGAACAGAGATTAGCTGTAGGTTAATTCTTTAAGTGAAGGAGTACAAATACGGTGTACCGTCTGGCGTTCTTGCGTTTGACGTGCAGGGGTACGACGATCCCATCAAAAGGTGTGGGTGAATGTGTAGCTGATCATCAGTTCCTGTAATTAGTGGAGCGCCCCCCATTGGAGGCAAGCCTAAGTGGTAAGGGGGACTAAAGATCTGGGCTGTTGGAATGAAGATCCTTGATGCAGTGCACATGTGACTCGCTAGCGTGTCTTGCGGTGATGGCAAATGAGGTGGATGTGACGAGAAGTAAAGATCAGGATGATCAGCTGCTATCATGGTTGGGCTCCATCTTCCTGGGTAGAGTGTCATGCCAGGGAAAGGCACGTCTTCCTCGTAGTGTTCTTTCTTTGGCTTTGGAGGAGGAGGCAACGACGAGATGTCATTTTTTCTACTCGCTGACAGCAAACAGGAGCAGTCTGGAGGGCAGATTTCTTCTTTGATGTAATTGTATCTGAGCATGTTCCTGTCGGGGTGACCTGGTTCTCTTTGATGGCTGACATTCTGCGCTGGAATGTTAGTCTGCCTTCGACGCCACTCTGCAAAATGCTCATCAACACTGTCTGATGAGGGCGAATGAGCATATCGTCTTTCCATGCTGTCAACCCACGTTACCGCAGAACTGGTTGGTATTTTGGGTTTCACTTGAGATTTACTACTGTAGACTTGCTTGTCACAGACGGGTGACATCTCTCTACTACACTGAACGTCATTGTTCAACTGATACCTCAAACTGCCATCGTTGAATTCTTTCCTTAAGTGTGATTTCGACGCGTGCCGTCTTCCTCCATCAGTGTCTCTTTCACTAACTAGCCTTGAAACTTGAGGTTTTTCCAGAGGGTTGGCCTGGGGAGGCTGAACATGAGATAGAGACTGACTGCGCGCCTGTGACTGAGCAGGGCTATCCTCAGATGTCAAGTCGATTATTTCTCTTCCTCTACCTGGAGTAATTATCTTCTTGGGCTGCGAGGACAGGGGGGTTCCATCATGTGCCACCCTCTGAAGAGCAGCACCATGATGAGGTTGGTTTGAGTTGCCACCCACAGCAGCTGCGTTCTTGGTGTAGATTGTATTGGTCCTTGCACAGGCTTCCTCGTTGCTCGTCATTGTCACTCGATAGTTGGACACCTGTTGATTAGAGGTTGCCTGAAACTGTTCTGATGGAATCACGTCTCTTTTAGTCGTTCGTAAGGCTAAAGGTTGCGATGCCGTGACCTTTACCTCGTCTTTTCGCGTTGTGGGTTCGTGATGTTTAATAGAGCTGATAGGGACTTCATGTGGTTTGCTGGTGACCGATGTTGTAACAGCAAGCACTGGGTGAACTGAATCCGTTGTTTTCACAGCCGTCTCTTTTGCATCAGAAGGGACGCTGACCTTAACATGAGATACTGGTGGTGAAGATACAACTGCGTTGCTCCGCTGGATTTTTGCTAGGTTACCTCCTTCAGTCTGCTTCACTGTAGCTGCTTTTTCCGTATTAGGGCACAGGCTAGGCTTTGGGGTGCTATTAGCGGATACAGTAAGTCCTTCCTTCTTCTCAACTTTGTTTGGAGCCTCTTTTGCAGCAGGCTTCTTCACAGGGGTGGGCTTTTTCTCATCGATCTGTTTCTTGAGTTGGCTTCGTATGTGTCTCTCATACGGTAACAGCAGCCTACAAACGTGGATGATAAAAACAAATATAAACTATATAACTCAGCTGTGAATAGACATGCCACACGTACTAAAGAAGTAGGGAGCTTATGCAATCACGACGGCGAAGGCAATGAGAAGGTAAAAAAGAAAAGAAATTTGTCTTATGATTGTACGTCACTTTTCGTTTCTCATTCCCATCACTGCGCGACTACAACGTGAAATTTCCAAACGTCACGTTTTAATGAAGGACGATTTTCTTTGCCTTTTTCTGAGATAAGATACGGTCCTTAAGAATACCCCTGCAGGAAAATCGTACGCTTCGCAAAATGAACAAAATAGAATTATGTTCAATAAACAGAACATTACTGGCTTGATTACGATAGATACTTGCTTGTAAACTACGGAGCAGCTGCGCAGTTACCGTGCAGTAATTCGAAATACAGTATATGTTATTGTGGTAATGGACCATTTCCTAGCTGCAAAAACTCTCACTTTCAAAACAAGACCAAGAGCAAAACCTTGCTTGTGAAAATGAGTTTCATTTGCATGATGATAAAAAATCATTTACATACCAGATGGCATGGCTTTTTACTTAACTTCGCTATGAAACAGAGGCTTGGGGCGACTCGGAAATGGCCTATTAGAGAATGTCATGCTGAGTATGCCCATGGTTTTACCTTTCATAATGTCTTCTGGTGTATGTAGCAGCACTTGTAATCGTCGCACTGCCTCCAAGCGAATCATAAACGCGACGCCACAAACGCTTGCTTGTTACCTGGGAAAATAAAATAACTCTTTAGTTAACCCTTCAAGACCGAATATCCCCTTAGAAATCCTCCAGAATGATCTCCCTACATTTCCCTCAAGAAAGTACTTTCCCTAAGGTGATTGTCTTTCTCCTAACCTTTCCTCTTGATTATGCCTTGATATTGTTTGGAGAAAATTGATGTTAATCGTTCTAAGGTCTTCAAAGGAGAGATAAAGAGCTGTAACTGTGTAGTATCAGAGAGTAAAGTGTGTAGAAAGATAAAATCACAGTGGCGGATCTAGACCTTCAGATAAGGCAGGCCCCGGTCTCAAAAAAAAAATTCGGCCCTTCGGTTTGGTCTAAAAAATAAGTGGGGGGGGGGGGGGGGGGGGAACGCATGGGCTTCACGTAAATGAAAGTAGCGCTAGGTTGTCTGTCGCACGATATCACATCCTTTTAAATAAGTAAGTAATAGTATACTCACCGCATCATATCCTCCAAATCTCTGGGCAGTGTTGTACATTGTCCACAGATTCACTGCAAAGAGAAAAACCAATTACAAACTATGACTGGTGGAAGGCTGACTATCTATCTCTCTAAGAACTATTGAACTCAAACAACTTTGTCCTCCTCTCCATTGAGACTATCTACGCTTTGGCCAGTTGAGGGCGGCAACTGTGTATTTCTTAATCTATAACAGTTAGAAATGAGATGGCAAGAGTCCTCACTTTCGTAAGGGACACCTGGTTAGAAACCAGACAAAGTACCGTTTTCTGCCTCTCCCGATAAATTAAGCGCTCTGCTCGAGGCTCAAGATTATGAGCGGTGAAAAAAATGTGGAGAAGGAAAAGAGAAGAGAGAAAGGAGAAATTCTACTATCCTTCTTCCTACTTCTCTCCCGTCGATAGCAACGGAGCCCACTAATCAAGTCAAACAATATCTGTTATCTTGCTAACCTTCTTGTAGCTTGCGAGTAAGCTCTCCGGGGCGCTGTGGAAGCGGAGCGCCAGAGCGCCCCGGAGAGCCTGCTCGCAGGCTAACCTTTTTGTGGTTAACATGATAACAGCAGTCAATTTTTCGGCCGCGGATGAGATGTGATGATTAATATCCACGCACGGAAATGAAACAAGATTCAGACAGTCTAATTACAGGCTTGTCAAATCAATTGGTAATCGCCTCTTTACCTTTTTTGAAGCCAAGTGCCGGCAGCTTTCCCAGTGGCTGGTTATTTTTTCTCATGAAGTCTCGCAGAGTTTGCATGAAGTACTTCTCGTCCTCATCTTCATACTCCTGTATTATTCAAAATTGATATATAAATAAGAAAAACTCAAGTCAATATTCATGATTCCCTCGCAACACAAAATTACGAGTTTCCGTAGGGAACCACAAAACTTACCTTCACACTACACACACTATCCTTTACTAGGGTTAGTTAGGCACAAATACCCTATCGGTTGAATCCGTTGAATGGTAACCAAACCAACAATTTGGTTTTTTGTTCATTCTTAAGATTTAAATAGTACTTTGCTTTGAAAATTTTTCCCGAAGGTGTCCATTTAATGGTAACACCATAGGAATTTGTCCACAGATGCAAAAAATACAATGACAAAATCATCTCAAAACTACTACAAAACATTTTAAATCTTCCTTTGATCTGGAAGGGGGGGGGGCGGCGGCGTTTACACATCTGAACAACGACTTCAGCAGTGAAACCAAGATGGCACGAGTTCCATTGGTGGCCCTCAAAATGAGAATTATAGAATAGGTATTGTTTTTAATGGGTCTCAAGCCATCAACCAACTGAACTTAGAAACTGGGGGCGCCAACTTTACATCCTGTCAGGCTAAAAATCTACTGCATGTAACAGAACGATAACAGTTGATACGAATGCATTCATTGCATTGGGAGAGAATATAATATACACCAATAGCTGTATCACGAGCACTAACAGCAGTTGACTGCTGGCAGGCCACCTTTTGCCTTAAAATTCTTCAAGTTCTCATCCTAGCCAGCGCGTTTACAAACAACTACATTACCATTATTTATTTATTTATTTATGATTACAAAAAGTGATTTCGACGCGGCTCGAGCACATGGGTTATGCGTGGAGTAACTTCCAAAAGGAAAAAAAGAGAGCTCGCGATCATATAATTTTAACAAAGACAACGCAGCGTCAAGTCAGAAAGCGAAAGCGCGCGGGAAAGGACTAAACGCAACTTCTGGTGCTTAACTTGTCCCCTCTGCCATTGGTTAATTCGGTCTTTAGATCTACGAGGGCCGTTGCCACTGTAAACACTGTGCTTTTCTAAATTTGCCTACAATTAAGAAGAATACTAACCTCATCTTTGACATTGCCAGGCATACGTAATCTTTTCATCTTCTTTTTCCAAGCAACAGCTTCCTCAGTTTGAGATTTTTCATATTCTCTTTTCCCTTCCGTAGCTAATCTAAACTCTCGTCCTTCATTTTCTTTACTATCTCTTGCCCTGACAGCATCTGTACCCAAGCCGTCATTAGGTTTCCCTGAGGTTGAAACAGACTCTGCTGAAGGAGCCAAGTGCTGATAAGTTTTTGATCCAATCGTGTGTGCGCTGGAAACTGTTTGCGGCAAAGATGCGACAGGTTGAGTGCGCACTGCAGGACTGACAGAAACTGCCAACTGAGTCCCAACAGTTCCCTGTGTTGAGGCTACTGGTCGGGTGGTGGAGGAAGAACTGGAAAGCGCTTCTGCCTGAACTCCTGGGATTCTCGTTCTAAGGTGTTCTGCGCTGCTGGTATTTGTAGCAGATTTTGCAGGCGCTTGAGTTGAACCGTGGTTGTCCCTCACGGACGAATTAAGTATGTTGCCAGTTTTAATCTCTGACGACGAACTCACACTTTTGAGAGGATCAGATGTCAGACTCGGCTTAATGCTATCACTCAAATGTGACTTAACCAGCAAAGCACTGTTGATTTTATTATTGTTATTGAGCTGATCAGTTTTCCTGAGCTTTGCATCGGTGGGGTAAATCTGCTTTTGCATTGGCGTGGTTCGGGAACACTCGTTCACCTTCATGTCAGCTTGCTCATGACTTAATTCTGTAGTCACAGCAACACCTTTAAGCCTGTCTGAAGGAATTAGGGGTGGGGGAGCCTTTGTATTAGTCAATGGCGCATTTGAAACCACAGCATTAGGAACATCAGAAGGCTTTGTAGAAGTCACATGCACTTTAGGCTTAACTAGAGGAGGAGGGACATTGTTTTGTACTGCTCTCGGTGACACAGGCGGCACCTTAATTCTCTCTAGCACTCTTTCTGACACGTCCGATCTTGCCGCCTCCTCTTGCTCAGATATTTTGCATCTCTTCGCTGCAGGTGCGTTTGTCACATGATTTTGAGTCTCTGCTAGCAGTCGTTTTTTCTTGAGAACGCTGTTCTGTGCTGCATGGAGGTTCTTTTTCTTCCTTGGTCTACCTTTCAGAACTGGTGCTGAAGGAGAGAAAAGTATTGTAAGCAATGTAAGGGGGACGCAAAATGACCAATGGTTTAGGTCACAGGTCTAAATCTACAATACTCGTCAAAAATCTTGAAACACGTACGCGTTTCACCTTCCATGATGTTGATTTGGGTATAACAGTCGTCTCAGTGCTACTAAATACACGTGGCTGAACATTGTGGAAAGAGAGGTAAAGAGACGGTGTCTGTTTCAAAGATTTTTGATGAGTATCAGTTGTAGTCTCCTCTAACAGCCATTTTTGTGTCGTTACGTAACGCTAATGGGGAGAGCGAGCATTGCGTGACAAAACAAGGAGACTAGTTTAAATCCTGCTCTTGCTCTGTTGATTGTGGAAAGGGTTGATTGTTTAGGTCACAGGTCTAAATGTAGTCTCCCACACAGCCATTTCTTGTGTCGTCATGCAACTCTGATTGCTAGAGGGGTGGGGAGGGCATTGCGTGACGACACAAGGAGGCTAGTTTTTAAAAATCCTGTTCTTGCTCCGTTGTCTTTCTCTCTGTTGTCTCACACTCTGTTGTTATTCTCAGCAGTTCAGTTCTTCAGCAATGTTTGGCTGCCAAGATCACTGTCACTACTAGGGCATTATCACTTAAATTAGATTTGATATTTAATTTCACAATGTCAGTCAAAAGATACAGGGCTACACATTCATGCATGCATATAGAGTACATACCTTTGTTATCACCAGCAAGTTCAAATTTATCCAAGAGAGGATGGTGGAAGCTATCTCTACAGAACAAGACCCTTTGGCTGGTTTGATTTCCAAGCACACCACCCAAAGCAACAAGTTGAGCTTTTGCTAAACAAGCACCAGCCAAGAGTCTCCTCTTAAGAGCTCTGTAACGACAGTAGGCTGGAAATGTGAGGATATGAAGACTGCGTGGTTGATCGCCACTTTTCCAAGATTCTGATGCTTTAAGCTGTCTTTCTCTTTCCTTGTCAACATAGTGGCTGTCCAGATAGTATTTGTCATTAATGCAAACAAAGTCACTCTCATATAATGGAATCATACCGCTGTTCCACTGTATGCCAGAGTCCTGCCAGCGAGCCATGTCATGGCATTTAATGACAACTTTCTGGTCAGCATAGAGTAGCTCATCCTGTAAGATCAACAGCCAACATCAGACAGAGTTAAGCACAACAGTTTAAGCCCTTGTAAACCAGACACCACCACCCTTGGGAAACAGAAAAAGACTTGATATAATGGTGATTTTCCAGTCAGTGACAGTGTTTTGTAATACCTATCCACTGGATAGCGATTTATTCGGTGGATAGCACTATCCAACTTTTCAACACCCGGGCTTGATGCTCTACAACTATCTCCAAGAGACACAAGGAAGCAAAGGCCACTAAGCTGGGTTTATGTGACAAACATGCCACATAGCGCTAGGACTAGAATGTGGAATGAACCTACAATGCTTAGAGGCCTTAGATCTCATGAGTCTGTTGTAACTTGGTGGTAGAGCATCTGGCCCAGTAACAATAAACCAGAAGGTCATAGGTTTGACCCTGTTGGGAGCCAGTACAGATGAAACTCTCCACAGCAGTCACCTTGGGGAAAGAAGAAAGTGGCCGGCCATTGTAGAGAGGTTGAAACAAGAGTGAATGTATGGACTGTCCGCCAAAAAAATGGCCGTCCCCAGAGGTGGCCATTCGAAGAGGTTTTGCGATTGTATTTGGATTTTTTTTCTTCCACGTCACTGTGACTGAAAAATCATCATTTTCACATAATCACCAGGCTCAATCTTTATCAGAAGAAGAATAATCCTGGAAGGAGGTCACTATCCACAGCATTTGTTACAAGTGTCTGTTGACAGAACTCAACCGTATACAATTATTTTCAACTTTGCAAGGGGGGATTTGGGAGGAATGGACAGGGAGATGCCTGTGTAAAGCCAACTTTCAAGAGCACATCCTTGACCTGTAAATTTAATGACTGCCCACTACAACAAAAATTGATACAACTAAGAATTCACATAAAAAGCTGTAATCTAGGAAAATTTGCCATAGTAGGAAGTCAAAATAATAAAATGAAATCCAGGGTATCCTACATTTCATTTTTGTGCAAAAACTAAGACATCACTGACAGGCAAAAGTATGTAACCATGCGGCAGAGATAAAGCAGTCATAATAAATGCCACAAAAAAAGTCATTTCTTGTGGTTTAACTCTAGTGCTACACTGTAGTATCAAGGAATAAAGGAGACAAAAAAAAGAACATATTTCTATTAATGGCCAAATTATAAGCTACCTTGACCTCTAAGTACAGCATACAATGTTATCTTAAAAACCTTGCCAAGGTTAAAAACCTCAAAATGCTCATCTTCTAATGGCATTATTGGTAATCCAGCCAGCAGACACATGACCGCTTCCATTGGTCAGATTAAATGGCTAGCTAAAGAAACCAAAACTTTGTTGTACTTGGCATCAGGTTTCTCAGACAGTTCAATGAAATATACATTTATGTAATTGATACAAATGACTCTACATGGCTCACAGGAAACCTGAATGATTACCCAAGTCTTCACTAAGTTTTGAGAAAAGGTAAGTCAGATGTCTTGTTTAGAAATACAGATTTCCTCCCCCATACATTCTAATATTTGTTTTCTCTCACAACAGAAATAAGTATTCTGATCCTTAAAAATTGATTTAAGAAAGACAACAGAGCTATGTGTGGGTCTATCCAGTCAAAATTGATCACATTACTTTTCTGATGCAGTATTTAATACAATTTTGTATTGTTTTTGGCATTAACAAAGTTATAGCACAGTAATCATCACTGCCCAGTGCACTATATTTCTGGCAAAAAAATAATAACTACTACACTCTGGATACAAATATCATTTGAAAATATGCACATTTTGTGTGGGCATATTATTCACTTGCAATAACTTAATAAGTTTCAACTTTCAATGGTGTTAATTTACAAATATCAATAAATAAAGGCTAATCCTGATTCTTGCTTTCACTTTCAATCTAAATCATTTTTGGTTTTCCTCAATGTTTGAAAAGTAAATATTTGCTGCTAATTTATTATTGATCTTGGATCAGCATTTACATCTTTATATAAGCATCTATTCAAATTGATCTAGTCTCGATGTCTAGCCTTTAAATGATATTTTGACAAATATATTGGGCTTTTCCTTTTACATTCCAGGACGAAGGCTGTGACAGTGCTGGTAGCCTCAGTAGCCCTGGTGGCTTCCCTTTGTCCTTGACTGACTAAAGAGTCTTATGTTTTTTGGGACAACTTAAACTTTGCACCCTGTATTTTTTATGTTAGAAAATTTGGGCTCCCCACAATAATAACACACATTTTCTTGTTTAATGTTATGTTCCCATCCTTAGAAATCGGGTGAAGTGATTACAATCATATTTATACACAGGATTACCAAAAACTATCAAGACAATTTAAAGCCAAAGTTCAGTTCCTACAGACTAGGTAAATGTCTATTTGTGGAGATGTAAATAGCATCGTTTATGATTTGTTTTGTTGTAGAAAAGAAAAATTTCAAACAAATGAAAATGACAATTGCTGCTTTCATGAAAATTCTTTAAAATTGGTAAAAATCAAGAGAGTTATATGAACTAGAAGCCTGGTGAGAACTTTAAAAACGAACGTCTCCATTTCTCACAATTTAAGAAAATGTAAAAATGGCAATGGCATCTCTGTGTTGCCGTGGACACATCCACCTAAAATAGCTGTTTTTGGGAACTTGAATATATACCATACAATTCAGTGTATAGAAATATTGCACTGAATGCTTTCCAGAAAAAATGTACATCACTAAAACCTGGACTGAGCAGACCCTTCAAACTTGAAAAAGTTGACCTATTTTGCTATGCTTGCAAAAAATTTGGTGGAATAACCATCTTCATAACCCTACAGGAGCATTGTGTATAGATATAACGGCACTTATTAGTAATGACTTTAGCACAGAAGTGACCTACAACAGAAATTAATATTCTCATGACCTAGGATTCAATGTATGTTTAAATTTTGAGAAAATTTGGCCAGATACAAACTTTTTTCTTCGAATTTACGAGTAGCCAGAATGGTTAATATTTCTGTGATCTTAAAAGAAGAACTTCTAGACAAATGATCTGTTCAGGAGGGCAGTCATTCACTAAAAGGCTGCTTAACACAGGTTTGGCTGGCTTATGTTGCTGCTATCTGCTGGCGTTTGACGGAGCACCTGCTTGCTGTGACTAGAAAGATATGTACAGTCAACTCTCTCTAAGACGGACAACATTGGGACCCGCACTAAGTGTCCGTCTTAGAGAGGTGTCCGTCTTATACAGAGTCAAATAAAGGGAGTAAAGAAAGGCAGGGACCAACTCTAGGTGTCCGTTTTACAGAGGTGTCCGTCTTATAGAGGTGTCCGTTAAGAGAGAGTTGACTGTACCCTTCTTAGAATCATGGTGATAAAATCACTTCTCACATTTTGAACGTTACTGTAACTAATGTTGTTAACGACAATGCAGACTGGGTATTTCTTGTTAGCGTTCCCTGTTTAGCTGATCAGTATATGCGCTATCAACACTCCACAAAAAAGGCACATGCAATTTACACCAAGGAATGAGGTCAACAAAAGACTCAAAAATATTTAACTCAGGCAAGCAGCATGGCAAAAATGAAATGATCAAGTAATTTTGGTACACAATCTTGTAAACATATTCAGTTCTATTAGTAATACAAGGCAAGACTAGAAGTTTAGAAGACTGGAAGACTAGTTGTGAAGTTTCCTTTTCCAAAACCTTTAACAGGCATTGAAAGTATTTTGGGATGCAGGGCCAAGTTGTTTGAAGCTGGGTTAAGATAACCCAGGGTTAGTGTGAGATTTGAATCCAGATTTGAAAGCTTAAAAAGCATTTCAGTTTCAATTCTTTTTGTCTACAAGTTGATGATTGGCAGCTCTAAAAATAACAGAGAAAATTATCAGAGAAAATGCTTTTGAAAACAAGAAAAGGAAACCAGGGTTAATGTTAACCGCGGGTTAAGCGCTAATTGGCCTTCGAACAACTGGGCTCAGATGTATTTTTTATAAATTTATGTACAACAATGAAACATGATAATTGCAAAGCCAATTATACAGTCAGTCATCACTGTTATAGGGGATTTAACTTTGAAGAGTACAAAAGATTTACCGTATCTGCTGAAACAAAGGACAAAAATCAGATTCAACCCACAATTTTACATATGCTCTCTAAGGTCACTACTCAGGCTGTACATGTTATGTACAGATGTGGTGTTCAGTCCCAAAATTCATATCTAACTTCTTCTGGCTAATCTCCAAACATTTTCTTAGGAATTAGTTGAGAGAATTTATAAAAGATCAAAGAATTTTCCGTTTGATGATCATCTATTAAACTAAATTCTCATAACCACTCTTTTGAAAAACTATTGATGTCGTCGCTGGGACAAAATTGATGTAGGTCACTATTAGGACTTAAGGGGTTAATGCATTTTCAGAAACAGTATTTAAAACTGTCCCTTTTTCAGAACAAATGGAAAAAAGTAGATCCACTAATTTATTTTTAAGAGATGCTAGATAAACACAGCTTTAAAACAACTATAACTCTTTAGAGAGATACACAATGCATACACCCTTCAAGGTTAAGGTAATGTACCATTTTTAGTTTTACATTCTCACGTCGCAAGTTGAACGAGAAGTTTCTCCTTACTTCTGAAATATAATAACTTGATTAACACAAGGCCGATAAAAATCAGCTACTTTTTCATGGGCACAAGTGTAGAGGAATAATTTACTTGCTCTGTTTTTTCTTCATGAAATGATGAACTGTGTCAAGCACTTATTGCAATTATTATTGAAATATTATTCTGAAAACAATACACTTCTCGACGCTGTTAACTGCCTCAAATGTTCAAAGAATAAAACAGAATGTTTTGAAGTCCCTATACACACAACTATTTTCAATCTATTACTATTTAACATACTGTTTTGATGACCAGAGGAAAACACTGATCGGTGCATTAGGGTGATAAAAGGGTGCAAAAACCTTATTCTGGTTAACTTAACAAAATTATTCAAAAAATATCTGAAAAAAGCAATATAAATGATAAGTCATCTTTTGGAAGACATCTACTTGGGAACGTGCTGAATGCTCAATTTAATTTAACCCATTAACCTTGGAGATAACAAATGATGATTCAGACACGCAATTTTCCGAAGTTTACATGGCCTAAAAATACTGTTTTTTTAACCCTTGCTCGGAGTCGCATGAAATAATTATTTCAGACATGGTGAGGTACATTTTCCAATGTCCAATATTGTTTTGGGCTTAGCTCTTCATCAGTGGAATTTTCACAGTTCCAATTACAAGAATTAAATTATGCTTGTCAAAAAGCTTAGTAGCACAGTGTGATTAACGAATAAAAATTCAATGAACAGTTAATAATATCGTTAACGTTTCCACTCATTCTTTAATTATTTTTCCACAGTTGGAAAGAAAGTGCAAAATGAAGGTTTTACGCCACTGAAAATTTCTCATAAACAAATAGAAGACACATTTTAAGCTACTTTTCATCATGTGCATGCTGGATCACGGAGACACTAAATGACAAACTCTGCTGAATTGTGGCTAGACACAAAACAGATGTGGTCATTATATATGTCTTCAGCTCTACCACACACACAAAAAAAAACAGAATGTAGAAAAGAAGTAAATGATGTTGGATCCAGTTATGAAAAGTGTACTCTATGAATCTAAAATGAAAAAAAAAGCACTAAGGTAAGAAGCTTTCTTTAATCTCTGAATAAAAGATGACGTGATGGAAAGGTAAAGTAATCAAGGAAAATTTACAAGTGAATGTGAACATTGGTTTGAAATGGACATCAATTAAAATTAACAATTCAGTTTACCGATCAGTTTATAAACTGAAGACGGAAAATATTCCATGTCACAATGACTCTAGAAAAACAATCTATAGATTCTAATTCTAATTAATATCAAAACCATGTGGTTACAATTTGTTTACAAGTACCGCTCTCCAACCAAATGCTTGAAAAACAATTGAAAAGGGTCCAAATTATTCCAATCAGTGCAAAACTGAAATTAAATATTTTTAGACCACGAAATGGAACCGAAAACAGTTAGAAAGAGGGGAGGAAAAAAATCCGATTAACATAATGTCTAAAGCTAAAAGGCAGGTTATTATTTTTATTTAAATATTTTCTATTGTGTTTCGTTAATACGCATCTGTCGTAAGGTACTAGTAGGTGCCATCTTTTAACAAATACAATGTCGATAATTTTCTGGTCGAAACTGCACCACGAAAACAGGTTTCAACTCGCCTTGCTAAAAACCAAAATACTGTAATGAAATCGAAATAATCGCTAAAAATAAAATACGCTTAACCAACTGAAATCCAATCTTTTGACCGGAAACGTCGTGAGTGAATTTGACTTGCAGCGCTGAAAATGCAAATCAATCTCTATTGTTCATGTCAAAACACCGCTCGCTGCTTTATAGCTTAAAATTATTGAGTTTAATTTAAATATTTAAATATTAGTGAAAAATGTCGCTAGATGAAAATTAAGTTTACACATATAACTCGAAGAACGAAATTAGGTTTGTGTGTACGGTGCGCTGAGCGGAATGAATAAAATCGTTGTTTACTGATATGACCTCATGAATATAAATTGCGTAGTGGTGTCGTAAAAACCTCATTACAAGAAACGGCCATGCTGTTCTTTATAAAATGCTACAGTGTAACCAAAACACACAGAAAAAGTTAACGAGTAACTCGCTAACGTGCTGAATTTTTTAAACAGCTTATTGAGCCAATTAAGATACCATGAAATCAGCTCGGTCATTATTAAAATTAAGAAATGAAATTTAATGAAGTTCAACAGCACATGGGAATTCTTTAACTTCCTCGCCCTGCGCTATAGAAACAAAAGGCCAAATTTCAATTTACCGACCCGTTTTTCTCTAAAGTAACACTTGAGTGAAATAGAACTTAAGTATCATTACTAAAAAAACCAAAATATTTTAGGCACATTATTTTTCCTAGGTCTAATAAATATTCATCTAAATATAGGACACACAAGTGATAGACTACAAAAGCGTGTCACACTGGGCTTAAATATTCCGTTTTATAGCGCTATGATTTCTTTTCGTAAAGGCTTGAAATTTTAACAATTAATGCGAAATAAGTTAAAAAATAATAAAAGCGTTATTTTTTTAATCTTTGAGGCCATAAACGGTTAAAATAAACCCAGTAACGAAGCGAACTTTTAACAACGTCTTCACAAAATCAATGAAGCATTATAACTTCAACAAACAAATTTTTAGCGTTTTCAGATTTGTTAACTACCGCCTCTTTTCGGGACTTCAAAACGCCAAATCTAAGCGCAAAAAATAAATTAAAATGCCGGGAAAATAAATTTATAAAAAAGTTACCTGTCCGTGATTTGGAAGGCGACCTATCGGAGTATCTTCGGGTCTGAAATAAAGTCTCGCGGAAGCGAGTTGATTGTCAGTACTCGCATCGTGCCAAACTAATTGTAGCTCAGCTATGCATATCGGTTGATTTGTGGAATTCCTCACAAAATAAAACTCTCCCAGGCAGAATTTTTTCTCTACTCCATCGGCAATTAATCTGAATCCTCTGTAGAAGGTATATGAGCTGTGCCGTCCACAACTGGCACCGATCCACTGAAAATTAAAATCAATAATTTAAAGTCAGTTAGGCAGTAATTCTGTCATGGTATGCTACAAAAATGAAATGATTGAATACACGTCTAAATAGTCGATTTATGCGTTTGTTTTAACTCAAAATATTCCTCAAGGATTGAAAAAATATATGGCTAGGTCTGGGGAAAATTTTAGAGGCAAATGACGAAAACAAATCAAAAATACCTGTACTTCAGTCACGGGCATTGTAGATGAAGTTTACACTGACATCGCCACACATAACAAATGAGGTTTAAGTTTAGCAAGGACACGTGACTGCGGAAAACGTCATTGATAGATCATTTTCATTTTGACAGTTCTTACACGCTTGTCGCATGCGGGTACAACTCTAGCCCTTCAAAAATATTCTTTTGATATCACTGGAAATAAACTTACACATGGCAAGAAAAAAACGTGATCATAAGATGTAAAACTAAAATAAACCGGAATAATGTAACAGGGCCGAGCTGAAAGTATTTCCTGGTTTTTCCAAATACAGTTTAGCGTTTCCTGTTGCTATGCATGTAATTGTTTAACATTTCTTTCCACTTCAGAGGAAATAATTTTGACCCACGATCTGTAAAACAACTTCCTCCCCACCCCGAGAACAAGGACTATGACAAGTGACACAATGAACTTAAAACAACCTTTAAGTTATTTACTAAACAACATATATATAATAACAAACCAAAGTTAAAGATTTTTTCAAAGCAGATTTTTTGTTCCATATGCAAATCATATCCCAGGTAAGCTGAAATTTTGCTTAGTCATGAGCAAGTCATGCCTCGTGTCTAAGACATTTTTTAAAAAAAAAAAACCAATATTAAGAGACAAAATAACAAACAAAGATGTAATTTAATGTATCCATCGATATATTTACATATTTAAAATATTGGTTACAATGATTTCCAATGATGCACGTCTTCACAAAAAAAAAAGAAAAAGAACAGCAACAATAACAATAACAACAACAATAACTAAAACACCAAGCAATCTGACAATTAACTGAGATAAATCACTTGAATGCACTTTTGAATCGTGTGTGTAAACTAGCTTGCAATGTCATGACTGTTTTTTTTTTCTACAAAAAAATTTGATGTGCGCCCTTAGAAAATTAACAAAATAATGAACTCAACTGTCAAAGGTTAAAATAACTCTTATAAAATAATAATAAATAATAAAGCACAGCAAAGAATAAAAAAATGAATATAATAACAATGGAAACTTTTATTTGTTGTTATCTTGTTGTGCTACGTCTAGACAATTTACAAATGCTGCTTGACATTGAATTATTCAAAAAAAAAACAAAGAGAAGCAGAAGAAGAAAAGAAAATCAAAATTGCGTTAAGTCTGGCCTATCCCAATTCCTATTTCTACAACAAAAGATGTAATATGTTGCTCTAATGGCTATATTTATCATTTTCATGATTATATAAAGTTGCTGCTTTTTGTCAATGCCAATGTCATTCATCAAGTCTAAGAACGTGGAGCATTTGTCAGAAAAAACGCCAAGGGAGCTCATAATAATAATAATGATGACATAAATACAGTGGAACCCTACCTTACGGCCACCTCATTATTACAGCCACTTTTTTTGGGGTGCCTGGAAAACCGGCCATACATTTTGTAAAAAACCCTCGTTAATACGGTCACCCATTAATATGGCCAAAATTTTTTGGCCCATTGCTGACTGTATGAACGGGGTTCCACTGTAATAATAATGATAATAATGGAAACTTTATTTCTGTTTTGGAATGTACAATCGTAAATCTCGCCATGTATAGGCAATTTACAATACTTATTGGCTGTTTGAGATTGAATTATTCACAAAAAAATTTTAAAAAATCCAAAAAAAAAAAATTTCACAACAATTCATAAAAAAACAGAAAATCAAAATTGCGTTAAGTCTGACCTATCCGAATTCCTATTTCTACAACAAAAGATGAAATATGTTGATCTAATAGCTATATTTATAATTTTGTTGATTATATAATGTTGCTGCTTTTTGTCAATGCCAATGTCATTCATCATGTCTAAGAACGTGGAGCATTTGGCAGAGAAAAGGCCAAGGGAGCTCATGGATAGGTTTACAAATTTCACACATCTGTAATAATAATAATAATAATAATAATAATAAAACAGATAACTACCACAAATAATAATAATAATAATAATAATAATAATAACAACAATAATCATAATAATAATAATGAGAAATAAAAAAAATGAAGAGGACAAAGGCCTGGAAATGATGTTGCAAATAAAGATCATGAAAATACACTGGTATCAATATTGTGAGAGTATTATTTAAAACTACGTTCTCACTATCTCCATCCAGTTAGCAGTGTGCACACTCTGCAGCTCTCTGCTCTCAAGAGATTAAAATGGTACACTTAAAAGGGCTGACAGGAACAAAGATTGATAGAGGTTTCACTGACAATCAATATCTACCATTCTGTATGTAAATAAGCTACAAATATGAGAAAATATTACCATAGATAAAAAAATACACTCAGTATAAATAAAATAATAATAATAAAATAATATTTCAATACATTTTCACCATATAGCGCATGCATGTAATAGAACTTTACACAAAAATGGACATCAAAATATTCTAGCCAGCCACATAAGATCTCCAGTTTACAATATTAATAATAACAATATGTATATGTACAGATCAAAAATAAATTCAGGTCAAAATTTTTTAACCTATACATAGGTTGATTCTCAACCCTCTTTCATTTCCTAGCCCAAATTCATGAATAATTAGGGCTAGAAAGAAAATTGAGAATCAACCTAGGTTAGAACATTTTAAGATGAATGTATTTTCGACCTGTAGCACATATGTTGTGGTTCAATTTTATCCTTGGTTTAGATGTTATTGTCTTTGTTTCAAGCTCATTATGATACATATCACCCCCTGATCTGAATCAAATAAAAATATGATTTAAACCATGGGTAAAATTAAACCACAGCATATATGACAATTTATCATTAAAACCAAAAACAAATTTTCGCTAAGGTCCAAAGTCAACAATGGAATATTTAGGGAAAAAAGGAAATCGAATATTACTTACAGAATATCAAAATAATATTGTGTATCTCACAAATTTGTAAAATAAAACATTACTGTGATAGCTAACATGTTTATGCTGAACATGGCAATTTATTATACAAAGAAAACTATACTTTTAGGATGCCATATTTCATGCTTCAGTTTATGATTCAGTATTTTCCATAAAGAAGTTCTCTTTACTTTCGTAACTAGACAACTTGAGACAAAACTAGTATTATTTATCTTTAATGATCTGCACTAACTTGAACTGCGAGAATTATTCTGACCGTGAAAAGTTATTTTACAACAGTAAGTTTGACTCAAAGTTAACCATCATACATGTACAGTACAAGCCAATATTCTTTTCAGCACAACTTCAACAATTCCAATTTTTAAACAAAATAGCAAATTAAAACTGTATTAAACATTATTTTCATAGATATTGTGCTACAGGGTGCATACTACAATATGTTAACGGTGGCCTTGAGAGTTTACATGAGAAAAACTAATATCGCACTCATGGAGTATATTATTGTTACTTCTTTAATTATTACTATTTTTGTAAATAGTTTATCAAACTAGCTCAGTGAGCTTTAAGGCTTTCCTGATGACATAAATTTTTGAAAGAGATATCTATTTACATGTACATATTCCTAGTTAAACACATAAAGACATTGCAGATCTTAAGTACATGTACAGCGTAGTATAGAAATAAACAATGAAAGTCACTAACAATATTACACTCTACTATGTTAAGTAAAATATATAATTTGTCATTTCACTCTGCGAGCTTTAAAACTCTCTGAGAGGTGATTCAAGCTAATAATAAATAACCTGATGACATGAATTCGAATTAAAGGCAACCCATATCTTAGGTACAGTTGATGTGCAAATGGCCAACAAAACGTAATTATTATGTAAGTTGCTAATAAGATTAAACTCTTCTTTGTGAAGTCCCCGTACAGTTCTATAGAACAAACTTTAATGAAAACATTTAATTTATTAGCAGACTAACTAGCTATTGGACTGTCATACCCTGTGCACACATGCACAGTTACACTTTCTTTTCTCTGTTCAAAGCCATAGAAGGAAATAATTTCATGTTTTTGTGTTTTTGATAATCTATATTTTTTTAATGATAATAATAATAATAATAATAATACACTTCACTCACGAAAATCATTACTGATGTTAGCTTTCTACAATTTGTATACTTTCTCTCTTAGAATGTAAATTATTTGAACAATTTTATCTGCAGTTTTGTTCAAGGCAAACCCTCTTAAGAAAACATCATTAACATAGACGTATACTTCAAATCAAAAGAGACATTTAATTCATGCACGGTGGCATGTGATTTGTGTATGTTCACTTTAATTCATGTACTTGAATATTTTTTTCCACTTTCCTCTCAAGACAATCCTTCGGCTAGAGCTGAGTGGGAAGCCAAAATCTATAGCCTGTAACATAATGTCAATGTTGAGAGTACTTGGAAAGTGGTCTTCCAGCTTTGTGCCAATTAAGGTTGTGCAAAAACAGGGCTCAAAAAACACAACAATAAACAAACAAACAACACCAACTTGAACTTCAGTTCTCACAATTTGCTGGCCCGATGCCTGCAATACTCATGCCCATTGAGCAAATGGGCTTTCTTAAAAATTAATCAGTCAACCAAGAAAATCTACTTATCCTGGCCAACTGAATGGGCCTTTTTTGGAGCCCTGTGAAAAATGTGAAAACCGTACTAATTGCTTGCCTCAAGCATTTGTTTAATCTAGATATAGTCTATTTTTGCACTAGAATTGTTAAAACATATTCCTGACAAATTCTTAGTATAGAATTAAAATACTACCGATGACAATGGTATATGACAGTGAACATGGGCTAATTAGTGTAAAACTGGATTAATGACTAGACATGCGCAGACTGCTGACTTTCTAACTGGCAGTTGAATAAGGAACAATATAAAATGCTGAGAAAACAAAGCTGACCTGAAAGACATTTCAGGAAAAAAAGAAGACTTAAGTCTAGGGATGGAGATGGTTTTCAGAGCATGCAATTCACAACATTGTCTAACTTGCTAACTTGCCAATCTTGGATTCACAAGAATAGCAAAAGTCATCATAATTCATTTACCAAAGAATTTCACAGAAATGGATTAAACACCACATTGGAATGGACAGATAAAAAAGAAACAATAAGATAAAAGGGTTGTGACACATTTTTTCAATAAGCACCATGGAAAGACATCTACTTGCATGTCAGCAAGCCATCAGGTTTTTTCCTACCCTCAGCAATAACTGTCACGACACTAGACAGCAAGCTGACCTTTAAATGAAGTGACAGGTAACTGGGCAATTTATGGTGTTGCTGTCAAACGAAGCCAGTCTAGGATTTAAGCGCCAAATAATTTATCACATAATGGACCATTCTTATCACACAGTCTGCCTTGAAAAGGCAGCATAATTTCTGATTTTTTATCCCATCCTACAGGGCTGTCCTGGTTGCCGGGTAAATACAACAAGGAGGGAGTGAATCAAATAGCTAGAGATTTTTTTTGGTTCTGTTTTTGTTCTTTCTTCCTATGAAAGTAGTCGGGGGCCCCGTTCTTAGTAGCTGAGGGAAATCCCCAGCCCCCTCCTGTTAATGACAGCCCTGCATCCTAGCTGTCAAAAGGCCTGTACGGCATAGCATTGTGAGTTCACTGGTCTTGGTTTTCCTGTCCTACTAAACAAACCCTCAAGAGCAATTCAGTGTTTTTTGACTTCTGGTAAGAGTGATGTACCCTTCATCCATATGATATGACTGCTACCCTGTGAACAGGCTCCCAGAGTGGATATAGTGACCTCCCCATTCTTTCTACTCCTGTCTACTAAGGACAGCTCTAACATCAGAGAGGTGGCAGACATCACATAACGTAGAAAGACGAAGTCCCAAAAACAACCACAATACAGTCAAACCTGTATGTAAGTAACGGCCCTGATTAAGCAGCCACCCTCTATTAAGCGGCCAGTTTTTAAAGTCCCAATTTTTCGCTCATACAAACGTTGTGATTTGTTACCTGTATTAGGTGACCACCTCTATTAAGTGGCTGCGGCCACCCTATAGCAGTCCCATGTTTTTCTTTCTTCGTTATATTACCTGTCTTAAGGGGCCACCCTTAAATGGAAACTAAGCCATATGTCATTTAATGTGGTATTTTCATATTGTGTTTAAAATGAGATCCATCGTCACAATAAAGAAATAATATGAGCTACTGTAAGCTGATACTTGCCCATTTAGTATCGTTAACGCTTTTCAGATGTCATCAGATTTATTGCACAGTACTTTTACACAATGTTACGTATATTAGACTGCCGTTAAGTTACAACTTGGCACTGAACTTTGTTTAAAGTATTGATCGCTTGAAAGAGTGTTGATTGTCCTATTTTTTCCTTGCATGAAGTGTTTTTGTACGATAAATTGACATATGCCTAGTGATAAGGAAGAAGTGGTGTAGGAGTAGATTGCATATATTGTCAATTAAGCCGAGGCAAAGTCTTGAAAGAGCTGCATGGTGAGAAGTCAGATCAAGATTTTCAGAGGTACACTGTGAAACATTATTCCAAAAACATACAGGCTGTCATTAAGAGCCAGGAGCCAGGAATTTCCTACGGCGACTGTGAATGTGGCCACCGGCTACTTTCATAGGAAAACAGAAGAAAAATAGAACCAAAAGAAATCCCTAACTGTTTGATTCCCCATCTACTCGATATATTTACCCGACAATTTAAAATCTTAGTGACAACCCTGACACACATCACATAACTTGTGATCTGCTCTACCAAGTCTACAAAAATTTCCTGAACTGTCTGATGAAATTAGACTCAAACTTGCTCAGGGCATTGCCAAAGACAAAAGAAAAAGCTGATCTCAGACACTTGCATACACCAACCCATGACAATCAATTACCAGCTATACACTGTATGACCTTTGTGGATATGGGAACTGGCTGAGTTTTAATAATCAACCATCAGAAATAAGCACATTTTTTAATAACCCAGAGATCAACCCAAATGATTGATCATCAACTATAATCAGAAAATCTCTTTATAAGGATACATACATTTCATTGGACGGTTTAGTGTGCAGTATCGTGGGATATTTTTACGAGTTATGCTGCATTTTGGTGAGCCCGTAGGGCGAGTTAATTAGAGATGAGTAAAAATATACCACGATACTCCACACTAAACCGTCCAATAATAGATTTATTATTCAATTTGGGGAGTATAAAATAGAACTCGGTATAAATGTGCATGCTTGCCTACTTGTAACGTGAATGCATGACAAACTATAAACATGAGTCCAGTTTTTGTGCGCTTTCAGAAATGCTGTTGCTGATTGGTCAGAAATGAAAACTTGTCAAACTGGTTTCAGTAAATCAAATTTTTTTCGGGTTTTGCCAGCGCTTCAAGGTTATTTGTTAGGAAAACAGAAAAGAAATGACAGATAATGCTGAGTCTTATGATGATCTGCTTTACTCTACAAGCTTAAGCTTACAATTTGGCTCCTATTCCATTATTTTCTTCGGAATTACACGTTGCATTTTCTGCCATGTGTGAAGTTTGTGGATTAAAACCGGTCAAACCGGTCTTCTGGAGTACAAATACCATGAGATATTTGTACTCTGCCCTCAGCAGAGTACAAGACTGTCTTGTACTCTACTTAGGGCAGTTGAGTAATGATATTTGTTATTTTCTTAAGATGGTGATGGGTCTTAGTAAAAGTAAAAAAAAGGTTAAAGGATAAAAATTATCTAAATTTACAGTCCACTGCTGTTATTGACGACACTTTCAACACAGCGGCTTAGTGTCTTTAATAGTGATATTCTGTGATAGCAGAAGTTTTTTACAGTATTACAGTGTATAATAAACAGACACTACTGTCAGTCTGGGGTGTCTGTAATAGCGAGGTGTTCACAAGAAAAGATTTCACTGTAGTAATCAACGACCACAAAATAAAGTTGGGTCTCTCATCTTTGACACCTTTTTGAGAAAACCTCCACATACTTTCAAAAGTGTCTGGAAATTTTTTACAGAACAATTGATGGAAGTAACCTCCACTGAGTGACATGGACTGACACCCAGCAACTGGGATGATAAGTTCATTTGGCTTAACTTAGCCTATAAACGACAGTAAGTAGTGCAAAGGCCAAAATAAAACTTGCCATTGTCACAAAGCTATCATAGGTATCAAACCTTTGTACTTCTATACACATCATAATTAATTAGCAGCTGTTATGCATGTATTAAAAATGTCCAATATTTTTTGTACACCTCAGGTATCTGACCCTACACATGAGTTTAAAAATGCTTTTACTGATTAAAAGCTTGTGTGAAAATATGACATCACTTTCAACATTATTTTCCGATTCTTATTTTATAAGCTTACTTCGATGTTCACTATTAATAAAACGCCCTTTTCTGATGCAAAGGAAAGCAAAGAGTTAAACATTAAAACAAACGACACAGCCCAGAAAATAGTGATCTCAAAGGTGTTCCGATATCTAATTCTCTACTTAAGCATCGAACACTACGGTCATCTAAGTTAAAAGAATCATAAAGATCTTACCTTGAGGAATTGAGGAAGATCGCCATCTCCCAGCAAACGTGTTCGATCTCACATTTTCAGAACCTCTCCTTCGGACAACGAATAATTTTTGAACAACGTACATGATTTCTTGTACCCACAAATTACAAAATAAAGCTTGAAGTCATGAGTATGTAGGTGTTCGAATCGGTTAAAATAGAATTGACCTCCGGGCTCTGTCCGCCATAAAATTGCTACAAGAAAAATTTCCTCCCACCAGTTTTCGTTCCAAGCCCCCATGAGCTGCTACTTATCACGTGATACAAATCAAAACTCCCGCGCTGTCCGTTGCTATAGTGACTGTGTTGAGAAAATTCAAGATGGCGGGCGAATTCAGCTGAACTCGCCTTGAAGGATCACAAGTTTTGTAGACAACAAGAAACTCTTACGAAAAAATGGATAGCAATATTAGGAAGCTTATTCATGCAGCTTCACAAGATGATGACCTGTCGGCGCTGACTGAGGCGTATGGGAAACTAAGAAAAGAAAGGCAGTCCTCTGACGACAAAATTGACGCAGTTTCCTCTGATCTTTTCGTTTTATGCGCAGAAACAGCGTTAAAGGTGACCTTATGATGTGGTACACATTTTTTAGCATTTCCTGGGTATATAGATGATTCTTGTGAATTCTTTTACATTAGATTAAACTGTGCGCATACACATCATAAATTATATGTAAAAGCCCGTTTCCATACAATACCCCTGCCAATCAAGCTACCTTACAATTAATGATTGATTCCGTTATCTCCATATGAAAAATTCATGCTTTCTCATTCTGGTTTCATTCTTTTTTTTATTCTGCAATTTAAAGACAAATATGTTTTTGCATCACCAATCCCAGCTACCCCTGCCCCCCACCCGGCTGAATTTACCAATGCAAAACTTCGTCTCACGCATCAGTCAATTCCAGCCTGATTGAAAAATGTGAGTTGTTGCCAGCTTGCCTCAGACCCATGTAAGGAACGAAAACCATGTGTAAAATGAATAAATGACAATACCTTCCTCGCGATCTCTGATTTTGTGGATAAGCGTTTTCTCGACCCCAAGACTGACCCCCCTTCGGACTGGACATAAAAAATCCCAGCATTTTTTTGGCCTTGGATGGACAAATTTTTTTTGGCCCAAATTCCCATGGCGATGGGGACTCTTGAGCTCAGCTGGAATTGACTGATGCATTGTTATTTCATTTCAGAAGTTGGTGTTGTGACCACTTTATCGTGAGTCCTTTAATTTGTGACTGATAGTACCAGGGGTAACTCGATTACGATGTGAAAACAACATTCTAATAATAGTAACACAAACACTAGGAAGAGCGAAACTTAGGTAGAACCCATGTTATGCTATGCAGGGGCAATCCCCATGGCAATATCAGAAAATTCTCTGACAGGTGTCAAGTTACTTTAAAGGAGGCTCTATTAGGATAAAATTCCAATAATCAACGTGGCCTTGCTATAGCCATGAAAGAAAGGTGACGAAAAATAACACAAAGATAGTTTGAAACTGCAACAGCGACAAAGACAAGCATAAATTGATACAATACAGTCAAAGCTGTAGTTAGCAACCACCACGGAAATTCATTAAAGTGGTCACAACTAGAACTACGGTAGTTTGGTTTCAAGAATATGCTCTTATAAGTGACCATTTGACAAACTTTTTGAGGGTGATTGCTTACAAGAGCTTTTGAATTGAGAGCTTACACCGTCCAGTGTATGTCACAGTTCAAGCAGGGGTTTCACAAGGTTGGTTGTAACTGGAGTTAGGCAATTGAATGATATTAGCAGAGCTCCATTGGAGCATGAAATACATGCGATTGTAGCCTACAGCTAGAAAATTTGTTTATCTATCCATCTGAGAAATTTTGGTAGTCACGTGACCCTATGTCCATCCATCCGTCCACCCGTCCGTCCGCACCACAGGGCAACCAATGTGAAATCTTACACTTTGTAGCTAGTGTGGGTGCCTGCAACCTGATATTGTGCATTCATGTTGTGGTCAATTAACAGCTGTCAAAACAGGTTATCTGCTGACCAGTATCACATGACTGTATTGCAGGCTCAGGTATTGACCCATCAAGGTTGCATGGTTTTTTGAAGTTAGCTGTAGAAAATTTACTTGTTTTCAATTATTGATCACAGACTCAAGTCCAAGACAGTGGATTGTTTTTTTCAATGGTTGCAAGTTTATTTTTTGAAGAAAATTATGAATTTATTAACAGGAGCTTTGCCTTTAGCATTATTGGCTGAATCTACAATGTATATATTAACTGAAATAATTTGTTTGTT